TTTTAGTGGTTGGCATGTGGTTTTGAGGGCCTAAATCAGAGAGGGGAGACCCTCTCTCTTTTGGCCTTGTTTGTTTGCATTTTTGGCCTTTCAAATGTGCACATACTTTCATACTTCCAAGGCTTGTTTCGGGCCCTTTTTGGTGACTTTTGGGACCTAGCTAGACTCTATCTATGGCTGGTTTGGCCACCTTGGGTTTGTCTCTTGCATGTGTAGAGTAACCCCTTTTGTAGCTTATCAAAGTAGCATGTCATTCTTGCATGTATTGGTCATATTTTAGTGGGTTTTTGGTTATCATTTGGCATGCCATGACTCTGTTTTCAGCTGGTTTGGTAGTCTCTCACATGCTTCATATGCTTGTAGTGTAAATCATGTTTACTAGCTTGGAATGCATGATGTTTTGGGCCCTCTATTCTAGCATATTTTGGCCTTGATCCAAACTGATTTTTTTCATACTTTGGGCTGCCTTAGCTTTGTTTTGAGGCCTCTTGGTCGAATGATGCTTTCCATGCATGCTTATAGTGTGATAGCCTTGCCTAGCTTTGAGTTTTTGAGGTCCCTTGCATGCTTAACTTGACGTATTTGCATGTTTTGGCATTGTGAGGAATATTATTTTAGAGCTTATTTCTTGGCCATATTCTCATATTTGTCACTCTTTCAATGTGCTTGAGAGTTGCATCATTATACCCTATTTTATGAGCCATTGCATGAGCTTCTTTTTTTGTGCCTTTCAAGCCATCGTCTTAGTTCACTTTTGCCCCTATTCTAGCTTGCATAGGGTCTGTTTGGAGTTGGTTTGGCCACTTGAGCATTGCCTTGCATGCCTATAGTGTAATACACTTCACTAGTTTCGATACTTGAGCCATTCAACATGCATTGTGTGAGTTGTTTACATCATTTGGAGTCATTTTACATGCCATTTCAGAGCTGGAACACATGCCCTTGCACTTCACATTTCATCATTTCAATGCATTTGGGGAAAGTTGTGTTTTATGCTTTAAGCTTGGTCCATTGCATTGGGCATGTTTGCATGAGTTTTGGAGCCTTGTTTTCATCATCTTTGGGCACTGATTTGGGTGTGGCTGAGGTCCATTCATTTTGGTTTGTGTATATTAGTTCTATGTGCATTGTGTATGCTATTGTCATGAGCATTGTGCATGCCATGTAGCTTATAGCATTGTGTATGCTAGTTGCATGTTTGTATGTTATCCCTTGCATGTTTGCATCACTTAGTTGCATTGCATTAGGATTGTATGCTAGAGTTGCATTTGTGCATGCCATGTTTGTTGCATTGTGTTCGGGATAGGAGCTAGTCCGAACATAGGAAACGAGGGACGTCTCGTACTCAAAGTGACGAAACGTGCCTCGATTCCCGGTCGCCGACATTCTTGACTATCCATGATGGAGTTATTGGCTTTAGGTGCTTGTATGTGCATTCATTTCACATTGAGTCGTGCAATTCGGCTCCTCGGCCATCATCCATCAAAATGCATGATTGGTGGCCCGAGGGTCGAGGACAACACTCCCTTGAGCTTATGCAATGATGGGGAGAGTGGTCGTGCACACATGTGTTGCAAATACTTTGCTGTGCATCTCTCTTTCCTTTTGTTGCAGAAAACCAGAAACCAGGAGAGGAAACTGGTCAGCCGACTAGATTTAATGGCAGGCCGACCATTTTTTTTAGTTTCCACCACAAAAGGTGGTCGGTAGTTGGTCTCCCATGCCTATAAGCTGGTCGGCAGCCTTCCCGCAGATTCCCGGGGTAGGGTTTCATCTCCTTGGAGCCTTGTGCAAGTTTTTGAGATCAATTGCAAACAAAGGCAAGCCGGGGCATCGAACAAGGCAATTCAAGCATGCATGCGTCCTTTGTCATTCAAAGCAGAGCTAGGGCAGCCTACTTCATTTAGTTTACATGCTTATTTAAATTGCTTACTTAGTTAATTTGTTCATTTCGTTATGTAATAACTAGTTTAATTAGATTAGCTTAGGTTAGCTAGTTGGTTTTGTATTATTTATTCGGACCCTCCGTCGAGAGGGCGAATTTTTTAATAAGTGTGCTTGTGTGTGCTGCATGTCTTCCAACCCCACGTCTATCTTCCTTTTATTTACCAGCTTACGATGGTTAGTATTAGGGCATATTTTGTTTAGCATACCTTATGCTTGCATGCGTGCATTCATTCATCTGTATTGCATGCACCGGGCTCGGCGCATCATACTTACTGCATTGTATTTTAATCCCAATTTGAATACATGTATCAAGTGTTGCATTTCACATGACATCTTAGGATAACCGAGCCTATTTCTAGTTATTTTTTGCATGTATTGCATTAGCTATCTTAACATGAACTAGGATCATGCATCGATTACTAACTAGTTTCTGTTTTGGCTCAGAGTACTTGGTAAGTGTTTCTGCTTTAGCATCCATGCATGAGTGTGAGTGTTGCCATGATAGCATGCTTGCCATGAGGCTATGTGCTTATATGATATAACTGCTTAAATGCCTATGGGTGAAGGTTGGATTACTTGAATTGGATCAATTCATTGAAATTCGTGTTTTAGCCTACTTGCGAGTAGCAAACCTCAAACCATTTTCCAAATAAACGGATATGCGATGCTTTGTTCCAACTTAGATGATCCAATCTATACTTGTATGCTGTGTGCATCACATAGTAATTCTAGGTTAATAACCAGAATAAGAGCACATGTGTTGTTCAAAAGCAAGACATCATGTTTAGTAGTGGCCGATCTTTGATCAGGCGATCGGAGGTGCTCATTGCATGACCTTCCCCTCTCGTACCCAAGTTCCCAAGTAGAGGCAACTTTGGTGATGATGGACACGTGGCCTTAGGCACGAGTCAGGGTTTCCTAAATTCCCCCAAAATAAAATATTTAGGTGGCGACTCTGTATTTGGCAAAGCAGTCCATGTTTGGCATTTCTTTCTAAAAATCAGTTTTTCAAAATGATTTGTCAGATTTGAACTCTTTGGTGATTTGTCAATCTGGCATTGCACTTTACGGGATTAGATTCAGAACCGTGACATTTGAGTCCGAACTGTAGTGAGCCCAATGAACAAAACGGGATTTTTCCCGGGACGTTCGGGGACGTCTACAAGGCCACCACGACCCTTAAGTTTCACAATGTTTATTGGAAATAAACCCATGATTGAGGCTGATTTGATTGTCCATGACCTAAATGTGGCAATCAAGTTCACTCGGCAAATGTTCCTTCCCGAAGTTCATCAGTCAAATGGCCAACCAAGGTGACTACAAGGTGTTCAAAGAGGGAATTCACGGGACAATCAAAGGATTGTACAGTTCTTGCAAAATTCGCATGCGTTTACGAGCTGCTTGGAAATAAGTTGATCACCAAGACGGACGAATACAGAATTTGGAGCGCCGTCTACAGGAGGCTGAGGAGAAGGCCAAAAATGAGGCTCAAAAGGCTAAGCTAGCAGAAATTAAGGCGATGGGATCAATGTCACGGGGCACCATAATGCAATGCCTTATGGATAATGCAATAGTCGATCATGATATTGCCGCTGTTTTTGCTAAAGAGGCCATAGAGACCCGGGCTTATAACAAAGGATTTTTTGATAGAAAAGCAAATTGATATTGACAGAACCAAGGAAAAACTGGCCAATGATGTTTGCTAATATGAGAATTGTGGCTTCGAGCATAGCTGGATCAAGGCATTGTAAGCGACAGGTATAGATTCGGTGTCGCCACTGTATAACAGTTTACACAATGTCGTTCGAAGCCTATGACGCTGAGAAAATGGAAGATAAAGAAGAGGTGACCAACCCCGAAAAGGCTTAGTCGACGTAGTCAATTCTGAAAATCTTTAATTTATAAATAGAATGCCAACTGTTTTTAGGATACATGTTTCCAGAATGTACTCCGATCAAATTTTACAATATTAATAAAGATTATTTTGGGCGTCATTAGCGGATCCAGTTCCTTTTTTCTTTGTTCTTACCAAAAATTACTTGTAAAAATTGTACTCCGAATGTGGAGACCTTCGTTGGCCCGTCGTGCTGAACATGCATACATGCCGAGCATGAAGGGCACTCCGAATTCGAAGACTTACGTTGGCCCATCGTGCTGCACATGCACGCATGCTGAGCACGAAGGGCACTTCGAATTCGGAGACTTTTGTTGGCCCATCATGCTGTACATACATGTATGCCGAACACGAAGGCCGCTCCAAATTTGGAGACTTTCGTTGGCCCTTCGTGCTCCACATGCAAGCATACCGAGCACAAAGGGTGTTTCGAATTTGAAGACTTTCGTTCGCCCTTCGTGGTGCACATGCATGCATGCCAAGCATGGAGGGCGCTTCAAATTCAGAGACTTTCCTTGGCCCTTCGTGCTGCACATGCATGCATGCTGCGCACAAAGGGCACTCCAAATTCAGAGACTTTCATTAGCCCGTCGTGTTGCACATGCATGCATACAAAGCACGAAGGGTGCTCCGAATTCGAAGACTTTTGTTGGCCCGTCATTTTGCATATGCAAACATGTCGAGCACGAAGGGCACTCTGAATTTAGAGACTTTTGTTGGCTCGTTGTGCTGCACATGCATGCATGCCGAGCACAAAGACTTTCATTGGTGCGTTGGCAAAAAAAATGCACAAAGGGCAAATAGATATAAACAGTACACTAATTACATCGCAAGTAAAAAGAGAGCCACATTCGGCAAAATTAGTGATAAAACTTGCAGAGATGGGTAGAGTTCTAAGGCCGAGGTAACTTCCTGTCGATCATTTTGAAGAGTCGATATGCCCTTGCCCCAACGATGGAATCAATCTAATATGAACTGTCCCAGCTAGGGCCGAGCTTCCTATCAAACAGATTCTTGGTAGCGGCTAGGACCTTTTTAAGCATAAGCTCTCCAGGAACGTAGCGGTGCAGATGTACTCGTTGATTGTATGACTTGGCTAATAGTTGTTGATAACGTGCCATGGAAACAAGAGCTTGATCTCGGCGCTCTTCAAGTAAGTCTATATCATGCCGACAAGAGCTTGATCTTGGCACTCTTCAAGTAAGTCTATATCCAAGGCCAGCATCATGTCGTTACAACTAGTATCGAAAGCCCTTGAGAAAAGAGTTGGCAAGCCAATTTCAAGAGGGATAATGGCCTTATTACCAAAACATAGAGCAAATGGCGTTTCACCTATAAACTTTCGCGGCATAGTTCGATGGGCCCACAGCACAGTTGGGAGCTCTTTAAGCCATTTGCCTTTAGCTTTCTCCAAGTGCTTTTTGATACCATCCAGGACTACTTTATTGGAGGCTTGGGCCTGGCCGTTACTTTGAGGGTAAACGGGTGACGAGAAGTAGGGTCGAATTCTATACATATTGCACAACTCTCGATAAACTCCGCAATCGAATTGAGTGTCATTGTCGGAGATAAGTGCCTTGGGTATACTGAACCGGGTGATAATATTCTTCCATACAAAACGTTTGACATCGGTGTCCCTTACATGTGTCAATGGTTCGGCCTCCACCCATTTCGTGAAGTAGTTAGTAGCGACTATCAAGAATCATTTGTTACCAGGAGCCTTTAGCAATGGCCCGACGATGCCTAGCCCCCATTGAGTGAAGGGTCATGGACTAGTCACATAATTTAATTTTTCTTCGGGCAGATGTGTTAAAGGGGAGAATTTTTGGCACTGCTTGCATTTCTTTGCATACTTCTCGACATTAGTTCGCATAGTCAGCCACCAATACCCTTGAGTGATGGCTCGATGAGCCAATGATCTTCCTCTCGAATGAGCGCCACAATTGTCTTCATGGATCTCGGCCAAAAAATCTTCAATTTTATCCGGGTGGACACATTCAAGGTAGGGGTGTAACTCAGGCGGGTTCGATCAGGTTGGGAGGTTGTCCAAGCCCAGCCTAAGTTGTGCTGAGACCTACCTAGGCCCAACCATGCCCGAATTGTAACCCAAGGTTGTCTGCCCAAGCCCAACCCAAGTTGAACTCAAATTGCCTGAGTTGCACGAATTGCCCGAATTGTAAATGAAATTTTTTTTTTTTTTGTGGCAGCTACATTATTAAATTATTAAAATTTGACTCTATTTATATTTTTTTTTAAAAGAAAATCATTAATACCATCAAAACAAATAATTTATATAATGTAAGAGAGATGCAGTTATAGTAGTCCTTACAATTTATAAGTGAAAATAAATAAATAAAAATATAAGATTTTATGTTATTTGTATATATAATATATATTCAATATGATTTAAAAATCTAAATTACTTTAATATTATATAATGACTAATAATTTATATGTATATTTAATATTTTTATATATTTATATGTGTATAATTCGGGTTTCGAGTTGCTTGGGTTGTTTGACATCTTTACCCAAGCCTGCCCAAACTTAATTCAGGCTTCTGAACTTTTGCCCAAGCCCGTACCGAATTTGAAAATATATTGTCCAAGCCCTAAAAAAAATTGGGCTGGGTTTGGATTGCTCGTGTTGAGCCCGCTCAAGTTGCATCCCTGATTCCACGTAGGGCCCGGAAAGAGATTTATTATGAGTTTTCCTTGGGGATCCAGATAATACCTCGAGGCCTTATTGCATAGCTTGTGAGTTTATTTCTTATCCTCTGGTAGTTTTTTTGTATAAAGGAATGTCGCAATAGGATCCATCAAACTCGGAATTCTTTGGATGACGTTAATAGTAGGAGGCTCGAAGACATGGATGCCCGGCTTTGGTAAAAAACTCATTTCAATGGTTCGTTTCACTTCTGAATTGACAGTCGAAGCTAAGTAGGTGAGGGCATTGGCATGTGTATTCTGGTCTCTGGTGATCTGATTAAGTTCATGTTTGTCAAATTTCTCAAGCAGAGAATTGGTTATCCTCATGTTGCAGCCATGCGGTCGTTCTTAGCTACATACCCCCCCTTCAATTAATTGATAACTAGTTTTAAATTGCATAACACTTGCACTTGTTTGGCCCCCATCAATAGGGAATTTCTGAGGCTGACCAACAAGGCTTCATACTCGGCCTCGTTGTTGGATGCGTTAAAGCCAAGTTTAACAGATTGTTCGATCACTACTCTTTCCGGCATCATGATCATAACTCCTGCCCCACTACTCCAATGATTGGAAGATCCGTCACAGTACAGTTACCAAATATTGCCGGCGTATATTCGCCATTGCGGTGGTGGACTGGGAGCCGACTGGGGCTGAGGATCCACATCTGGTTACATGGTGAATTCGGCTACAAAATCTGCTAGCACCCACCCTTTAAAGGCTATCCTTGGTGAAAATCAAATATCATACTGTTCGAGTTCCACTGCCCATTTGGAAACTCGTCTTGATGATTCCACCTTTCGAAAGACTGATTGGAAATGATGACCTGTTAGCACTTTGATTGTGTAGGCTGGGAAGTAGTGATTCAATTTCCTTGTTGCCACTACTAGAGCCAGGATTAACTTTTCCAGGGGCAGGTATTGAGTCTCAGCATCAACCATTGCCTTGCTAACATAAAAAATCAGTCTCTATTCGCCAAGGTCTTTCTTGAGAAGGACAACACTTACTGCCCAATTGAAGACTGCCAGATATAGGATGAGCACCTCTCTCGGTGTAGGGGTAATTAGAAGCGTGACGACGCCAAGGTAGTCTTTCAAACCTTCTAAGGCAATCTGACACTCCGGGGTCCATTGAAATGACTTTTACTGTCGAAGTGTTTGAAAGAACGGTCTACATCGATCTGAAGACCGACTGACGAATCTGTTGAGAGCTACGGCCATTCCCATGAGTTTCTGAACTTTTTGGCCAATTTTGGGGAACCGAGTTCTAAGATAGCCTTGATCTATTTCGGGTTTGCCTCAATCCCCCAATGATTCACTATATAGCTTAGGAACTTCCCCGATTCAATGCCGAATGTGCACTTGGATGCGAGTTTCATTATGTATTTACGGAGAATGTCGAATGTCGTAGCAAGGTTAGCTAAATGGTCCCCCTTTGCTCTGGACTTCACTACCGTGTTGTCGATATAGACCTCCATAGTCTTGCCGAGTTGGTTTTTGAACATGCTTGTGACCAATCTTTGGTAAGTTGCACCGGTGTTCTTCAATCGAAAAGGCATTACCTTGTAGTAGTAGGTCTCCCTTGGTGTAAGGAACGTCATCTTGTCATCAGCAGGATCCATGGTGATTTGATGGTAACCCCTGTAAACATCCAAGAAACTCATGCGTTGGTGCTGGGCGATTGCGTCTACGAGTTGATTAATTTGCAGCAGGGCAAAACAATCTTTTAGGCAGGCCTTATTTAAATCTATAAAATCTACACAAACATGCCATGATCCCGTCTTCTTCTTCACCACAACAGTATCAGATAACCCGATGGGGTATGTAACTTCTCTAATTGTCCTAACCTCCAGCAATTTATCAACTTCTTCAATTACGGTTGTGGCATGTTCCGTGCCCATGCAGCGACTCTTTTGGATAATTAGCTTAGCCTACATATCGACATTCAATTTGTGCATTGTGACCATTGGGTTGATGCCAGGCATGTCATAGGGCGTCCAAGCAAAGATGTCGATGTAGCTGCGAAGAAATGATATCAACTCTTGCGGCAGCATTGAGGCTTGTGCCGATTAGGAAGAATTTGTTAGGATCCCCACTGATCATTATCTAATCCAAGTCCTCCGTAACTTTTTTGGTCGGAGTTTTGCTGACATCTTCTAAGCTCTCTTGATTTGGGATTTCGATTGAATTCACTTACAAATCTTTGGGCTTCTTGATCAAGGTCAAAAGGTAGCAGTCTCCCGAAGAACCCTATGAGCCACGGATCTACTCAATTTCGTATTGAGTTAGGAAGCGAAGTAACTGATGATAAGTGCTCGAAACTGCTTGCATTGCGTGAAGCCATGTCCGGCCCATGATTATATTCTAAGGCAAAAAGAGTTTGACAAGAACTCAACCTCCAGTGTTTTGGTGTCCGCATATACTGGTAGCACAATCTTTTCAAGGGGGTATTCGGGGTTGGCATTAAAGCCAAAGAGAGGGTACTCGGCTGGCGATAGGTCTGCATCATTCAGGCCGAGTTTGAGGAATGTTTTGTAATACATTATTTCAGAAATGCTCCCCTGGTCAATTAGGATGTGCTCAACAACAAACTTGTTAACTCGCAGCTCAATTACGAGGGCGTCATTAAGCGGAGTGGTGATTTCTTCTAGACCGGCATCTGAAAAGCTAACCTCATTTGATAAACGAGGCCACTTGATTGACTTACTAGATTCATGGTTGGAGCCGAAAGATTTCTGTTGAACCAAATTTACGCCGTTAGATAGGGGTATGCTGTATATCACGTGGATTATGTCGATAGGCGACAAGTCGGGACGTACGGTGAGCACACCTGGTGGCTTCTTCGTCTTTGGGAGGTATTCGATTAGTCGGCCTCCTTGGACTAACTCTTCCAGATGATCCTTCAAAGCATATCGGTCGGGTGTCCATTGTCTTTGTGATATTCACATCTTTAATCCCTTACTCGGCCACTTGAAGAACGGTTGATGTTGAATTCTGCTAAGAATTTTGCTTATCGAGTCGGTGAACTGTGTGTATTGTTTATCCGGCCGCTTTGGGTGTTTGCTCTCTAGTTGGTACTGCTCATCTCACCGATGTGAGTCCTGACGATTCTCTCTCCTGGATTGGCTCCTTGTGTCTGGGCTCCTCCTCGGTGGAGTTTTTTACGACGACACTGCGTTTACAGGCTGGGTCATGACAGGTGTTTCCGATCCTTCAGCTTGTAAGTCGGCTTTAACCCTGATTGCATCATCCTCCACCTTGTAGTACTCTTCAATTTTTTTCATCAGGGACCAGACCGTTTTAGGAGGCCTTTGAGTTAATGAGCTTCTAAGTGAGTTGTCCAGATGCAACCCCATCTTAAAGGCTGTGATTTCCATGGAATCGTTGCTATCATCATCTACGAGATTGAAGCATTCCTAATAACGAGCCGAATAATCGCGCAAGGTTTCTCCCTGCTTTATCTTCATTGCCCAAAGAGAATCTGCTTATTTTGGCTGAGTTTCATTGGTGATGAATCTGGCCCTGAAGGATTTCTGGAGTTGATAGAAACTTCTAATTGATCTAGGTTCTAGTTTATAGTACCATCTGACGGTGAGTGGTCCCAAACTACTAGGAAATATTCGGGATATAAGCGCCTCATCGCCGGCATGCAGTCTGAATGGTGGTGCTTTGAACTTTTTAGACAAAGTGGCCTTAGCAATATGTCATACAAAGGGATCATGTTTATCTTCTTCGTCAGAATCGTCATTCCTCTTGTTATGCCTGTGCCGCACTCGTGGACTACCGTTAGACGAGTCAGCGATATCTGTACGGCCCCACTTTCTGAGCTCCTCGTCCAACGAACCTGAGATGCTACTACCACTGTCGTGCCTGAGGGGGCGGCATTGTTGCGCGGCTCTCTTTATTGGTGATCAGCCCCAATCATGCTGGGGTATAATATGTTGGGATTTTGTCAATTTCTGGTTTAAGCACTCGTTATCAACTGCCATATCCTCCATTCGCTATTCATTTTGTTTTGCTTGATTGATTAGGGTTTACATGGCGTTCTCCACTGAGGATGAAGCTAATGAAGGAGTCAATGGGTTGAAGTTCAAAGTCCTTCATGCGAGAGTATCTTTTGGCCCAAATACCGTTCATGGTGTCTTCAATGAGCGAAGGATCTTGCGTTAGGTCTGCCATGAAGAAGTTTAAGTATTCCCACAAACAGTGCCAAGTGTGGGGAAGTAGATTTGGGATACTCGTTTATCCAAGCAGATCTTGTAGCAGTCTTTTTATAGACACCTAAAACAGAAGAACAACTCCAGTTGAGGGTGCCAGAATTAGCACTCTGATGGTCTAGTTAGCCTCCTCGACTTGTGTAATAATCTTAGTTTTTGTATGTTGATAGTTTAGATCATACCTCATTCTGTAGTTCGCTCCTCCTTTTTTATAGAGTTTCTCCTTCAAGTTTTTATCTTCTACTACACATTTCCTACTAGGGCCTACTTCCCCATTGCACTTTATGGAGATGAATCGGCAACTTAACGAGTCAATACCGACTTATATGAATTACTCGGCTCTTCTACCCACAATCGGGACTCATTATTCGGCGTTTGTTCTTTCCAATGACTTTTACTTGACTCCGATTTAGCCCAATAGGCTTGTCCAATGGGCTGATCTTAAATTGGGCTCAGTTGGATTGACTATGTTATTAGGCCTTGTATACTTCTTTGGGCCATTATTTTTTTCGGCTCCCACAGTTATCATTTTTATCATCCCGAACGTGGATTAATAAAAAGTAGAGATGCTATTTTTCTTGAATCCACTGATCTTGTTACTCCAATTGAGCAAATTGAATTGCTTTCCAAGGTGTCTCTGGATTCTTCTCTCCCCTATTTGTCACAAGACCCACCAGTTCTCACTAATCAACCTCATAGTAGGAGGAGGAAAAGAACACCAAGTGAAGTTTTACTTGATTTGAATCCTGAGATAAGTGGGAGTAAGAGAGCAAGACGCCCATCCACGTTTTTGAAAGGCCATTATGTTTTTCAAATTGAAGAGCTCAATAACTTGCTAGATGAGCCTACTAGTTACAATGAAGCAATGAATAGCAGTGACACTACACAATGGCTTAAGGCTATGAATGAAGAACTTGACTCGATCAAGAAAAATGATGTTTGGAAATTAATTGATCTCCCAAATGAAAGAAAAGTCATTGCTTGCAAGTGGGTTTTTAAAAAGAAATTCAAAAAAAATAGGAATTTGGAGAAATACAAGGCTAGCTTAATAGCCAAGGGATTCACTCAACAACCTGGAATAGACTTCGTAGATACATATTCTCCTGTTGCAAAATTTGCCTCAATAAGGATTTTAATGGCAGTCGGAGCCAGGATAGATCTAGAATTGCATCAGTTAGATGTTAAAATAGCTTTTCTCAATGGAGAATTAAAAGAGGAAATTTATATGATGCAACTTGATGGTTTTCGGATCCAAGGCAACGGAGATAAAGTCTACTAGTTGAAGAAGTCCCTATAGGGACTCAAACAATCTTCAAGTCAATGGTACTTGAAATTCCACCAAGCCATTTTAGAAATAGGCTATGTTGTGAGTCTATTAGATCATTGGGTTTATATCTAGAAAAATGATGACAAGTTAGTAATATTGTTTTTATATGTGGATGACATATTATGTGAGACCATGAATTATCCTCTCACATGGATGTTGTAGAGATCCAACGAAGAGAAGAGTTTCACCCCTGTAGATCTGCAATGATGAACATAGTCTGTGCCACCCAACCGGGGTTGCCGGCCAGGAGTACTCCGATGATGAAGTTAGTCCTGGAATCAAAAAGTAAATAGTATATATATATTAGAAGGGGTGTGTGTTCTGTAGAGAGAGATGATACATGCCTTCCACTAGGGATGCCCCCCCTTTATATAGATGGTATGATATTTGTTTGGGCTGGATCCATTGTAGGCTTTGTTTGGGTTAGGCCCAATAAGCTAGTACCTATATTTTTCTGGCTCCCACAATTGCCCCAAAACGTTCATTGTCTGCGGTAGAAGGAATGAGAGTTTTTTCTTGCCAAGTTATGCTGTTCAAATAGCTGTTAGGTTTTTTGATAAAGAACACTTTGAATAAATGAATAAAATGTATGAATGAATGACTGCATGTATGATTGAATGTATGCATGTACGTATGTCTTGAATGTATGTATAAATATACATATGTCTATCATAGGATGAAATTATATCACATGAGTTTCAAACAAATCATAATGATGGGCCATGGTATTGTTACCCCTGGGCAAGGGCTGTAAGCCACGGTATTATGACCCCCAAGCGAGGGTGTAGTATATTGTCGAGTGCAAAAAGCACTTCAAAATATGGACTTTCGTGCCGAGCTAGTGATATTTCTATGTACCAAGCACGAAAATAATTGCCTGAACCAAATAATGTAGATTAAATAAGGCAGATATATCAGCGAAAAAATGGACCATGGTATTATTACCCCCGGGTGACGGTGTAGGGCTGTAAGCCACGGTATTATGACGCCCGAGCGAGGGTGTAGTATATTGTCGAGTGCAAAGAGCACTTCAAAATATGGACTTTCTTGCCGAGCTAGTGATATTTCTATGTACCAAGCACGGAAATGATTGCCTGAACCAAATAATGTAGATTAAGTAAGGTAGATATATAGCCAAAATATGGACCACGGTATTATTACCCCCCGGGCGAGGGTGTAGGCTTGCAGTATTATTACCCCCGGGCATGGGTGTAGGCCTGCGGTATTATTACCACCGGGCATGGGTATAGGCCTTTGCTGATGGCACTCTGTGCCAAATACGAAGATTACGCTGTATTCGGAGACTTTTGTTGATTTTAAGTGGTGTCAGCGATGGCCTGTACCGAATGAGGTAAAC